TAAAAGAACCAAAGACTTAAACTACTTCAGTCTGTGTGCATTGTATTTATTTAATACACGAGTTTCACAATTTGAGTTGAATTACTGAAATAAATGAACTTTTCCACGACATTCCAATTTATTGAGATGCACCTGTATACATGTGTGTGTGTGTGTGTGTGTGTGTGTATATATATATATATATATATATATATCTCACAGAAGTGAGTACACCCCTCACATTTTTGTAAATATTTTATTATATCTTTTCATGTGACAACACTGAAGAAATGACACTTTGCTACAATGTAAAGTAGTGAGTGTACAGCTTGTATAACAGTGTATACCCCGCGTTTATACAAAACTAAACACCTCCGTCATAGTTAATGAAGCAGTCTATACTGCATGCAGGCAGAATCCTGGAGGACAAACTAAAGTATAATAAACAAATAAGGCACGTTAGAGCTGGGCAATATAATTTTTCTTATCAGTCGATATCGATAATTATCACGATAAATTTCGAATCTGTATTTCTTTCAAGTTTAAAGTCAGATTTTTGCTCCTAAGTGAAAGTTGTAGAAACCATACTGTTAATTGTGGTTTTAAACTAGTCTTTATGGTCAAACCATGACATTTACAGTCATTTTTCTTTAACAAAATAAATCTCTTAATAGAGAAATTTTTTTTTTTGTTTCTGCAGGTTCTAATGAGTGATTTTAGGGTAGGTTTGTGTTGCGTTAGTTTGATTATCTTCAGCACAGTTTGCAGTGCAGGCTACAATATTAAAAATATTTGTAAAAATTCTCTTAGAAATGCACATTTGACAATAGCATGAGTTAAGATGCAGATGTATATTTATGTTCATTATCAAAAACTGTAACATCAGTAAAAAAAAAATTAACAACCTCATTTTTTATTCTGACTATTGGAGCTTTATTAAAATTAACCATTGGTTTTCAATAGTAGCATGCATTTAACCACAGTTAAAACCACACCTTACACCACACCTTATGTCACCTCAAAACCATTGTAAAAATTAGGGGTGTAACGATTCACTCGACTTCTCGATTACAAACCCTGACGATGCATATGCATCGATCTGAAACATGGATTTTTGAATCATCGATTTCGGACAGTAATCGATTTAAAACGCTAAGAATCGAATGAATCACGATTTCTATAGTGATTCAATGCTTTCAAAATATATACACATTAAATTACTACAAGCATGAATTAATGGAGACCTTGAACAGTGTTCGTGCCCTCGCATCTCTCCTTCACGCGCTCCACTATTTACCGCCTGCAGGGACTGTCACAGGATTGCGCTCGCACTCAGTTTGTCTCACTGACACATTTTTTGAGCAGCTGATGTGTGATCTATCCTTAGTACTCGTGGCCAGTAATGCTAAAGTGAAGTAGTTTTGCTTTTCTGTAGTTTTTCAATGGCTCTCGGTCATTACCTGAGCAGTCGAAGGCTGCACATTTATTGCATGGATGGAGCAAAAATGTAAGTGTCTAAAAGCATACACACAGTTCCATTGAATGAAAAATGTCTTTTAACAATGTCGTTCATCTGAATGTACGAAGGAAACTGTTAAAATAACCACAGCATTAACAACAACCTTGAAATAAGAGTGCGAGGTTTATCTGATAATCAGATGCATGAAAGTAGCGTTTGTTGATATAGCAAACAGACATCGGGCGCATTTTCTTTCAGAATCATCATTCACCGATGGAGAGGAAAAGTTAAATTTCACGCAAAGAAATGCAAGTTGTATTTACAACACTGTTCCAGAACACTTCAACCCAAAGACAGTATAAGTCATTATAATCAGTAATTATGTCCCCACTGGATGCAACAAATGCCTCGTTTATAATGGGTTTTAATGTTTTTTTCTCGTCGCTCCGGCCGGGACACGGCATCAACAGTATGGTGAGGGGCATAACATTTCCGTCACACGCTTGAGGTATTCGGACAATCACAACGCACTGGATAGCTGGCCAATCAGAGCACACCTCGCTTTTCAGAACGATGAGCTTTGTAAAAATCGACGCGTTTCAGAAAGGCGGGGCATAGAGGAGAAACAATAATGTACAGTATGTGGAAAATAATGTGTTTTTTTAACCTTAAACCGCATAAACACATTTCATTACACCAAATACACAAAATAATGCTCTTTTTAGCAACATCATATGCCCCCTTTAAGACGTGCCAGGATATATCTGCAGCTAATCTGAATAAAAAGCAGAATGAACAGGTGAAACATTAAGACAATAAACACAATACATAAATTAAATATAAATGATGCAGTGCTAATTGACTTATAATTTATTACAGTACAGAAACTATAAAGTATATTTTCTACCTTATTTTGTGCAGAAAATCGAAATAATTGTTTGTAGTATATAAAACAATCATAAAATTGCCATTAGGAAAAATTATAGATTACAAATGATTGATTATTGTCCAGTAGTGTATTTGATTTCTTAAAGCAAATTTAAAGTAAGAGATAAGAATAATAAAAAAAAATAATAATAATACATAGGCTACATACATAAAGTTATTGTATTTGACATTTCTGTCACTTCTGAAATGATGGCTACGCCCCTGGTGTGACAAAATGTTAGCCTATACATAATACTTTTAAAGCTTTTTAAATTTTTTATCTTGGCTTACATAAATTTCTGCATATGCCATGTCATGCCATAGCATCATTAAACAAGCATCTAACAATGGACAAAAGTGTTTTGTTTAGTTTTTTTCCTAAACTATGGTTCTGTAACCATAAAGGCTGCTGTGTAATTTGCCCTCTGACTAAGCATTTCAAGAATTTAGGGGAAGTATTTAAATAATCCTGTGAATGCACTTAAAGAATGCAGAATCGAATCATTAATCGAATCGAATTTAATTGTGAAACGAATCGAATTGAATCGTTCTGAATTTGCAAAAAAAAATCGAAAACCTATGAATCGTAAATCGAAATCGATTCGATGTCTACCCAAAGATTCACAGCCCTAGTAAAAATGTAACTATATGGGTTTTAGGTAATTGTATGAAAAACAGTAGTCTAAATAAATGTAGTATAAATGCACATACAACGCTATAGCTTAATCACAAATAAACTGTGATTATATTCCATTACTCCTTCAATACATGTCTAAATTAATCATATAATAAAGTTTGATATGAATATCCCACATTTCTGACACAATACCATACTGTTAGTGTTACTACAGTAAGTCCATGGTAAAATGATGGCGATTTGTAGACTGAAAAGGCTTCTGACTCTATTGTTGTGCACAGTGTCTCCTGTTTGTCAGCGCTGTTTCATCCGGCTTTAGGCTAGTTTAAATCACGAGTCATTTACTTCACTCTTCACACTGGATCTCACAGCGCTGTTTAGTGCTCGCGTGACTTTAGTGCTCTAGTGAGCTTGCGCCGCTCTGACATTTGAATAGATAAATAGTCTGTGTGGTGCGGTTTAAATGAGTAGCGCTGTTTCATTCTGCTTTTAGCGTGTAAACATTATACTTGTTATCGAGGAAAATTATGGATTCGAAAAATGGCTTTGAATAATTTCCTCATGGTGCACTAATGATTACTGTCTGAACCCAGTGACATTTCCATTGAGAAGAATGCAGATAATGTAATTGTATTTCGGGTTTAGCAAACCAGTGTGGTTAGACTGGTTGCAAAGTAAATGTGACCCATATTGTAATTTTTTTACAAACATGATTCATCTGTGAAAAATAGAAAGAAAGAGCTTCTCCTATTGTGATTATATATTCATGGAACAAGTTCTAGTTTTATTTTAAGAATTGCTGTTTAAAATGCAGTGTGTTTGTACTTGCGGCCTGATTCATGAGGCTGTGTACTGTATTATGACAAAATTATCAGACGCAGCGATGGCATGCTCAACTTCCTCTTTCTGTTTTCATGTGTTTCTCCTCAGGATAGGCACTGATTCCTTTTTTTATTGCTGCTTTTGCTCTCCGATCCTGGGAGACTGAAGACTTCAGCCACAAATTAGCCATTTCTGTCACATAGATGATGATTAAAACCCGCAACCTTTTGCAAAGTGTCATTATGTGTTATTGAAGGTATAATGAAGCTATTACAACAAATAGACTAATCTAGCATCTGACAACTAAAATGCTGCCCTGTAACCAAACCGAATGTGAGATTTTCAGCCCACTGTGATCAATAGATGCAAGGGACTGTTGGGATCGATACATCACTAGCAGATGGATATGTAATGTGGAGGAAGCCACGTGCTTTTGTGGCCATCAAATGCAGTCTATAAATAAGTAAACAGAAGATGGAGAGAGAAGGATTTTAGCGACAGGTATCTCTTCGGTTTCTAACTCAAAATCCTCTTCGTCATTGCAGGGTTGGGCAGAAAGAAAAGAAAATTCACCTTATCTGTTTTCTAAATGCATGCCAGATCTTATTGTCAACAATTCATCCATGCATGTCTAATTTTTAAAAAAAATCAATTTTAATCAAAATGTCATACCTTTTATAAATATTAAAGTGTTTTTTTCCTGCAGCAATCTAATGTAGCTTCTAGGACTGAAATGATTTGTTGACATTATCAACTAAATCAACATAAAAAATTGTCGACAAGTAATATTGTTTTCTAATAGTCGTTTGATCTGATATGTAAGGCTCATAATGTAAGGGTAGCGCGGCTTGACCAGTGTGGTGCTGTAGAGCAAGACTGCTATCCAGCCCTCCTGAGCTGCAAACCAATAGAAGAAGACACTTTTGAGACGTGCAAATGGAGACGAACCCATGTAGGGAAGTTTTACAAAACTATAAACCAAAAATGCTGCTATGTGGCCTATTGACGGCGAAGTTCTTTTTCAATATATGCTTTACTGTTAGCGAACGTTCTGACGAAGCTGAGAGTAGCGTTTAGATGAGTATGTAATACTCAATAACAAAATAAACACAAATCAAAAATGCCAGCTGTGAGAAAACAGCAGTTAAGGAAGCATCTGATCGTAGCGATGTGGATATGTTTGCACCTTCAATTGGTGCAACAGCTAACTTACAGTAAGTTAGGTCACGTTTATTTATCTACCTTTCTCAATGACCTTATTAAATGTGTCACCTTTCACATCAAATTCTTGCATTGTTTATTAATTAAATTCAGTTATTAATTCAGTTAGAATAATAAGAAACTGCAGAGCTGTTACCATTCAAATGAAATCAGTATCACCAAACTCCATCTTTCCACTGCAGGAAACACAGAAGCTGACATTAGATGTATTTACACAGACTGTTTGATGAAGCTGAGGTGCCATAAATGCATTTACACTACAAAATTTTCGAATACATGAAGAATTTTATAAGATTAATGTTTTAAATATTTTTTTAAACATACAAATAAGAAATGTTCGAAAAAAAGAAATTATAGTTTTAAATATGAAACCAAACCAGTAGGTGGCGTCAAATGACAGTTTGAATGAGTGCGTCATTTAGTCCTTCATTAAAGCGGTCATTTGATGCGATTTCAAGTTTTCCTTTCTCATTCATTCAAACGGCTAATTCATTCAGAAACCAATCTTTATGATGTATTGTAATGTCTTTATGAATGCGTTACTGAATCATTGACTCGCTTGATTCGTTCAAAAACGTGGAGTCATTCAGTAACGAAATGCTGTGTTGCTCGGACTCGGAGACACAAAACAGTTCTGATGTGGCTTTGAATGGAACTATTGTCATCAGCGAAATTGAGCAAAAACAGTCAATATTGTGTCTAAAATGTAAGCCACTTAATTTTAACTTCTTGTTTATTGAACTACTGTTGTATAGAATCACATTGCAATCGTGTTGAAACATTTTGGTCGTGCAATGTTGCGTTCCTAAATCATTTTTTTGAACATTAAAGCATGTCAACATATTCTGTTACACCAAATACACAAAATAATGATCTTTAAAAAGGCATCATATGACCCCTTTAAACAGATTAATTCAAACGGCTAATTCATTCAGAAACAAATCTTTATGATGTATTGTAATGTCTTTATGAATGCGTTACTGAATCATTGACTCGCTTGATTCGTTCAAAAACGTGGACTCATTCAGTAACGAAATGCTGTGTTGCTCGGACTCGGAGACACAAAACAGTTCTGATGTGGCTTTGATTGGAACTATTGTCATCAGCGAAATTGAGCAAAAACAGTCAATATTGTGTCTAAAATGTAAGCCACTTAATTTTAACTTCTTGTTTATTGAACTACTGTTGTATAGAATCACATTGCAATCGTGTTGAAACATTTTGGTCGTGCAATGTTGCGTTCCTAAATCATATATTATAATTTTTTTTTTACTACCGCAGTATGCATCTGTAAGTTTCTGTGTGTGCTGTTGCGCTCATTTATTTTGATTTCTGCACGAATCTCTCTCACGCACTCACTCACTCACTCATCTCTAAAAGTCATCTCTAAAACTAATTTATTTTGTTAAGGAAAATGTAATGGTCTGGTTTCTTCTACTTTCATTTTGGAGCAAACATCTGCCTTTAAACTTGAAAGAAATAAAGATTTGTCATTTATCTTGATAATTATCGATATCGACTGATATGAAAAAAATGATCATGATCATTTTTTTGGCCATATCACCTAGCCCTAGTTGCAGCCCTAGTCCTACATCCTCCCATCATTTGCCATTTGCCAGTCACAGGTGGCACAGGTGGTGGTGTTTGACACAGGGCTTTTGTAATCTCAGGGCCACATTTGGCCGGCGGGCAAACAGTTGAAAAGCCAAGGAACAGACAATTATGACTAAAACTATTATTAAAATGTTTTCTAGGTGATAGAGATCAGGTTGAGCTTGCAAGGTATGACACGATGCTATTAAAACTTCATGCGTGCATGCACAAGTTGCTTCTTTTACAGGTCTTAATAAAAAAAAAAAAATATATATATTTGTTTTTGTTTAAAAGTGCAATAAAATGCATGCCGTGACGATAAGCAGTAGATGAGTGTGTACTTTTATACATTGCATACCCATGTAGGATATCTAGTCATATCAATAAAATAACACAAATGACAGTTATCTCATTACATTTTTTATTTGGAACTTGATGGACGCAAACCAAAAGATAAGAGTATTGATAAGAAAGCAATAAATCAGGCATCTGAGCAAAAACAACTTTGCATTTCGTAACATGCGAGTCAAAACACTAGATAAAACTAATATTAAACGCAAATCAATTGGATCTTGCAAACTGTGATGTTCGTTTTTTGCCTAACAAGACCTGCCATGTTTAGACTTGTTTGCAACACGTCTCACTCTGTATTTTCAGGTCACGCCATGTTTCTTTGTTTCCCTCGCATGTGGATACAGTAAAGCAGTACTGACTGCTGATAGTCCTCCAAATGGATTTACTTTTGTACCAATGTTATTAGAGATGCACCGATTGCAGTTTTCTTGGCCGATTCCGATTTCCAGTGTGATCTGCCGATACGGATTTTTTCCGATTTTCCGATTTTTTGTTAGTGTGATCTGCCGATACTGATTTTTGCCAATTTCAATTTCCGATTTTTTGTTAGTGTGATCTGCCGATACGAATTTATTCCGATTTCCGATTTTTTTGTTATTGTGATCTGCCAATATGGATTTTTTCCAATTTCCGATTTCTGATTTTTTTTGTTAGTGTGATCTGCCGATACCGAATTTTGCCGATTCCGATTTCCGATTTTTTTGTTAGTGTGATCTGCCGATACGGATTTATTCCGATTTCCGATTTTTTTTGTTAGTGTGATCTGCCGATACGGATTTTTGCCGATTCCGATTTCTGATTTTTTTTGTTAGTGTGATCTGCCGATACGGATATTTGCCGATTCCGATTTACTTTCTAAGAACTATAATTGACAGCATATACAAACAAAAATCTACTTTTCTTCAACGCAAAGTTTTACTTTCATAAAAAAATCACAAGTAAAAAGTCAGTAATAAAATAAGAACAAATAAAAAAAATTGCAAACAACAGCACAAATAAATGCAATAGAATAAAGAGAGCTATGAAATTAAGTTTTTCAGGTTAAGTAAGGTTTTATTCAGGTAAGAAATACTACAGAAATGAAAGTAATCAAATGTAAAATAACACATCCAGTGTTATTTTACATTTGATTACTTTCATTTCTGTAGTCTTCATTGTGCAAATTAAATGCAGATTAATGCTTACCATTAAAGTTATAAAATGTATTCAGTCAATAGCAGAAAGTGGTTTTCTTTGTCTTTTGTTCTTTGATTAACATGACAGACAGCAGCAGGAATATTGGACTGCGGTCCCTTTAAGAGTTTATCCACGGGCCCAATATACTGTTACACAACATGCGTTCTCTTTCTCAACTATTTAACGTTCCAAAACTGACTGTGTTTAACTGGATACTCGCCAAGACGGGCATTTTGACATAATTTTGTATGTATTTGAACGTTTTAGCGCAGTTAGCCACTCATTTTGGTATTTGTGGCTCACAAGCTGTTTGAGACTGATCGCGGCTTGTGTGCGCTCCACTAATATTGATCAGTTCTGGTGCGCGTGCTTTTGGTGTAAGCACGAAACCTGCAGGAATGACTAAAATAATGCGCAATACAAGCGCTATTTAACCAGAGCGAATGAGACATGTGTGAGAGAGAAGGGGTCGTCGGAGAGAAGAGAGCGAGAATGCACGGCTGATGTTATTGCCTGTGCTGCTGGTAACAAAACGGATCGTCTCGGAATCGGATAGAAGTGAGACTGACCGACCGATCATGAGGAAAATCGGCCGATATCATCTCTAAATGATACAGAAAAATCTCTACCAGTTGAACCATAGCTGTGTTTCCATGAACTTATAGCCTGTTTTGTTTTCTACACACGCTGAATTTAAAATTTACGCCGAAAATCCCATGGATGGTACAGCTGCTTGGTTATCTGTTAATAGAGGATAACACGTTCATGCTGTCTGAAGAGGATATGCAACTGTCCTCTCCTCCTTTTCGCTCTGCTTCACTTGATGGATTTGCATGCATCTACTACACTGTGACCCTACTCATATTCTCTACTCATAGTCTTTCTCTCACGCTGAATGCATGTGTAGGCATTGCAAAAGTGTGGAGGTGGAGCGGTGCTAAACGTTTAGGCTACGTTCAGCCGTCGCCCCCTGGTGGCCAGTCTCACATCCTCATTCTCATGATGTGTAATCATTGCATTACTTATTTTACCATGTTAGTAAAAAGATATAAGAGAATGTGTGCTGATGGTTAGTTCTTGCCGTTCCTGCTGAACAGTATTAATTCATTATTCCTGTTCATTAATATACACATATCCCTGTGTTTTGTGTGTTTTCAGACTTGAAGGCAGCACTGCCACATCCTCAGCTGCTGGGAAGTCCGGCACACACAAGAGCTGTCTTGTGTGCTCCGATGAAGCTTCAGGCTGCCATTATGGAGTCCTCACCTGCGGAAGCTGTAAAGTCTTCTTTAAGAGAGCAGTTGAAGGTGAGGAAGTCCTGACACCTATATTCTGTTTTATATCCATGGCCTTTACTGTATTTACTGTGCTTTGCCTTTTTTGAAACACCAGAGGTCCCCGGTGCAAATTGTTGATTTTAATATTTTTTTTGGTGAAAGAATCTCATAAGTATTAAATGTCATGAATTCATATTTACTGAGTAATCTGCTGAAAATTGGTAATATTCAACGATCTGAACATGCAGCTGTCTTGAGATCCCCATATCTCTGGGTATATGGTTTATTATATGGTTAATTATAGTTTATTAAGAACTAGAATCTAAAATCATATTGAGATATCTTTAATACTTCTTGAGTTACAGGCATGCAAACTTTGGAAAAAGTCAAAAAAGTCGGCTTGCAGACAAGGTCTGTGCTATGCAATTGTTTTGAAAGAGGGAGACAAGACACATTTCTAGTTTCAACGTTATTTGTTCTTGTATGAATAGTGATCCACATTTGGTTTTTGGCCACTGGAAATGTGTACAATTTGACAATTTACTCCTGGAGCCATATTTAGATCCCAGTATCTCTGGAACTTAACCGAACCATACCATACCATGGCCTTAAAAATAAAGATGCCAAAAGGAAAGTTTGTTAAGACCCAAAATCTAAAAGGGCATTAAGATATCTTTAATATTTCTTGAGTTACAGACATGCAAACTTTGGAGAAAAAACTTGAAAAGTGCTTTTTCTCCCTTTTTGAATGGTCACCATTGGCATATAATGCAACAGGGATTGCTTAATAGATTTTAGTTACAGACCTACCAATCTCTGTGTAAAAAAACATGATGCTGCCATCTTTCTAAAGGCATATTTACCCCCCTGTGATTTGGCTATGAATTTCAGGTAAAAAAGGTCATTTTGAACGACCTCTACAAAATAGTGGATTGCTCAGTAAATGTACATTCATGACTTTTAATATTTTGGCTTCCATCACTATACATGTTTATCTTTCCAAAACTTTGAGCCTGTAAAGTTTCTGCGATTTGGTTGATTTGACACGGAACGACCCTAGTGCATATTTATATGTAATTTTAGAATAGTATCCTTGAAATATGGTTAAAATGTACTGCTGACGTGCATTTATGGTAAATTATGATATATTCTAATGTAATTTCTATTGAAAATATATTACACATTTGTTGTGATAAAGTCAGTTTAATACATTATATATATTATACAATATAAATATATTAACTTCAAATGTAACTAATTAGTAATGAACACACTGCAGTTAAAATTCTAATTATGTTGAATGTGCTTTAGTACTGTATGTTTGTCAACACATTAAAAATGTACTTTAAAGCATGGCAAAATATTAAAACATAATGATTTAAAATGTACTTTAAAACTTTTCATTTAACTTTATTGCAAATTGTACTTAAGTGTGTTAAGAAACAGCCATGAAACATTCTTTGTACACTTTTAAGTACAGTTAAGTGGCCTTTTATTTAATTAATATTATATTATCTACACGTACCTTTAAAAAAATGGCTTTAAGTGCACATTCAGTACGATTAAGCAAGCTTCTTTTTCACAGAAAGGCAGGTGATGGAGACAAATTAGTGATGTGATTATGTGATTATTTACCTCTGTCTTTCTTGACCTGATTACGTAGAGTTAGAGACACATCCTTCTAGCGTGTTTTTACTTTCTCGCTGCATGTCTATTTCAGACAACTCGTACTATGAGTCATTCGTCAGTCAAAACGCTTTTTATCCTGTGGGTGTTGAAATGCATCTCTGGCTGACAGAGGAAATGTATTCTGATAACATCACTAATGCAGACAGATGACGTCAATTAGAGTTTACAGCTAATCAGTGTGTATTTTAAGTGCATATATTTGAGCAGTACGAACTACGGCTCTGCGTGTAAAAAAAAAAGAAGCAATTAAAAGCAATGCAGTGGGGTTCAGTACAGTGTTTGATAGCTGTGCATGATGAGGGACTCCTAAGACAGACTCCTGTCTAATCCACACTATTCTTGATTCTCGTAGGGCAACACAATTACCTGTGCGCTGGACGGAACGATTGCATCATTGACAAAATCCGCCGGAAGAACTGCCCTGCCTGTCGTTACCGCAAATGCCTCATGGCAGGCATGAACCTAGAGGGTAACACGAAATGTTGCACTTGTTACATAATTACACCAGTGTGTCCCCAAATGTCATTTTAGATGTATAAATAAAACTTAAATCACAGGAAATGCATAAAGTTTGAAATCTGACTGTCGTAAACTTTCCTTATTCAACACTCAGCCCGTAAAACCAAGAGGGGCCGTCAAACTGGCAAGGTAATCCAGCAGCCGTCGATTCCAGAGCGCAGTCTTCCTCCGCTGCTCGAAGTCCAGGCATTGGTGCCCAAACCCATGCCTCAGGTGGTGCCCACCATGCTGTCACTGCTAAAGGCCATCGAGCCGGACACCATCTACGCCGGATACGACAGCACCATCCCTGACACCTCCACCCGCCTCATGACCACTCTGAACCGGCTGGGCGGCCGGCAGGTCATCTCTGCGGTCAAATGGGCCAAAGCTCTGCCAGGTACGACTTGAGAATAGGAATGTAACGATGCACCCTGAGCCGGTTGAAAATATGTGACGATTCAAGTCAGTTGAGATGTGTAAGTGCCACTATTATGGGTAATGAAAGGTTCATATTTTGGTTTTATGAGTCCCCAACAACAGGTTGACATGCATGCAAGATCAAAAATCACTTTCGTTGTCTTATAATATGCATTTATTTTTACCTTACTTGCTCAACAACTCCCAAACGATTCGCTCAACTATTCATTTTTCTAAACCCCTCCTTTGCGTGACACTAATCTGCGGTGATTGGTCTCATTTTCATTTCATCTCGCCTGTAATGCCTGATAAAGCAGCGTTTGTGAGCGCAGTGCTGCTTTGTTTACAGCCGGTACCGGGGAAACCGCTATTTTACTGCTCCAAAAGCGGCACCTAGTGGCAAAGAATGAATTTGCATTTTCATTCAGACCAACGCGAAAAGACCAACAAGTGGGCGGGCGATATGCTAATGTTTCATGTTGACGTCAACATGAAACGGCTTGGGATTCGTTTTAAAAACGACTAGTTTCAATGATTCAGAGTCGACTCCTTCTTTTGAGAGACAATAACTTTATACACGGTGCACTTTCAGATTTAAAACTTTGCCGGATGTTTTCATTCACTTAGTTACACACTGCGTGAAAGGTAATTTTCAAAAATCCATAATAGGGGCACTTTAAACAAATCTTGGGGGTTTATATGAATGTGTCTCTGAGTGGAACCGTCTTCAGAAAAGTTTAGATGGTATTTTCTTTTCATCTTGCCTCTGTGCGATGCATATAAATGTAGTGTTCATAAGCGCAGCTGCTTTGTTTACAGCTGCTGTTCCACAAGTGCCACCTGCTGTCAGAGAGTGAATCTACATTCTCATTCAGCCCATCTGCTGTTTTTGTTTTGTGCAGATGTAGTATAGTTTCACAAAGCTAAAGTTGGAACATTCTGTTTTTCCTTCAAGTTTTGAAATTGTACAATCTAATTTAAATCAAAAACTGCTCTTAGTTTGGATCGTAATAGAAATGCAGTGAATTGCCTGCATGGAAAGAGCACAGGCCAAGTCTTAGTTTTTTTCTTTTATTTGTATTATTTATTTATTTGATTTGGGATTTGTTTTACATTTTTAATTTAGTTTTGTTATTTGACATTTAAATTTCACAAAGATATGTGCAGCATTTTGTATGAGAAATAATAAAAGGACACCTCATTTATAATTTGTCTTAAATCATAGGGGTGGGAATCACCTGAGGCCTCACGATACGATATTATCACGATACTTGTGTCACAATACAATATTATTGTGATTTTAAATATATTGCGATATTCTGCGATATATTGTAATTTATTACCTTTTTCCAACTTCAAATTATATCCCCAAAGGAAAACATTGACAACATCTGTTTTAACTAAAAAGAAACATTTCTCAGTTTGTTTATCTCACTTCAGTTTTATTGCTGCAGTGCAAAATGGGATTGTCAAGCAGACAAACTGACCAATCTTCTTTCATGAAAACCTGTCATCAATGTTGTACGCACCTGGAAAACTAAATTTTGTATTGCGGTCTAATCTAGTCCACCTTAATTAAATGTAAACAGGTATGCACTGCTGTGCTACTACAGATATTTTGAACAATGCAACTTGAACTTGTACAAAAAAGTTGTGCTGCAGACCCTTCAGCAATTGGGGCATTTGGAAGTAAATTACTGTTAAATTTAAAATAAATAAAAATTTATTCTTACATCCGATTTAAACGTGAATGGCGCTTTCCTGATAACTTTCCACCATCTTTATTTTATTAACTTACTGCATGCAGAAGGTGACCCAGCTGACCTCACCAGAAAAAAACTCAAAACCACCATCTAGTGGGCTGTAAAGAAATGTATTTTATTATTCTACCAAATAGTATAATAAAAGATCGAAACTTGGCGTCCGTGTATCGATACAGTATACTATGCTGTATCGATTTTTCCCCCCCACCCCTATTAAATCAAATTACAATTCAAGAAAATCATATGGCATAGTGAGTTGAGTAAATCGTTACATCTCTACTTGAGACGTCTTTAAAAAGCCGTGTGGAAAATCTTCAACCGCAGCATGCACTAAAACCCCTGTTTTGCTCTTTTTAGGGTTCCGGAACCTTCACCTGGATGATCAGATGACCCTCCTGCAGTGTTCCTGGCTGTTCCTCATGTCCTTCGGACTCGGTTGGAGGTCATACCAGCAGTGCAATGGAAACATGCTGTGTTTCGCACCAGACCTGGTCATCAATGAGTATGTCTCTCATTAAACAGGCCATTTGCTTTAATAATCTCTATGGCGGTTTAAAGATGTGTTCACACCATGGAAACTATAATGAAAATAATAGCTATAAAGTGTGGAATATTAGTTCTAATTCTATGCGAATAGGTTACACCACAACTATCGTTGGAATCACGTACAGAATGATTTCTTTCTAGCTGATGAACAATAAAAACTCAATCAAAATACACCCAGCTTTAATGGGAAGTGCGCTCATTATAAACAAAATGTTATCGTCTATTGAAAATGTCCTCACCCTCAGGCCATCCAAGATGTAGATGAGTTTGTTTCTTCATCAGATTTGGAGAAATGTAGCATTGCATCACTTGCTCCGCAATGGATCCTCTGCAGTGAATGGGTGCCGTCAGAATGATAGTCCAAACAGCTGATAAAAACACCACAATAATCCACACCACTCCAGTCCATCAGTTAACATCTTGAAAAACCAAAAGCTGTTTGTTTGTAAAAAAAAACAGTCCATCATTAAGATGTTTTTAACTTTAAACCGTTGCTTTTGAATAAAATACCAGTCTATAATAAGACTTCCTATACTTCGTTCTGACGGCACCCATTCACTGCAGAGGATCCTTTGGTGAGAAAGTGATGCAATTCTAATTTCTCCAAATCTCTTCCAATCAACAAACAAACTCATCTCCATCTTGGATGGACTAAATTTCAATTTTTTGGAGAACTATTCCTTTAACTGCCAATAAAAGCCTAAATTAGAGTCTTGTGTGTCTGTCTGCAGAGAAAGGATGAGGTTGCCCTACATGACTGATCAGTGTGAACAGATGCTGAAGATCTCCAATGAGTTTGTGAGACTGCAAGTGTCCAACGAGGAGTACCTGTGCATGAAAGTCCTTCTGCTCCTGAGCACAGGTGACTTCTTTAGAAGCCATTAATGCTTGATCCAAACGGTTTCAGGTTCCCTGAGAATCCAGAAGACATAGTTTTTGACTTCATTTTACAGAGGACCGTAACAAAACCTTTGTGTGTTTTTGTGCTTTGTCAGTGCCGAAGGATGGTTTGAAGAGCCAATCAGTGTTTGAGGAGCTACGGATGTCTTACATTAAAGAACTGGGCAAAGCCATTGTGAAGAGAGAGGAGAACTCCAGCAAGAACTGGCAACGATTCTATCAGCTAACTAAGCTACTGGACTCCATGCACGACGTAATGAATTTTATCCTAAATAATGCTTTTTTAAAACCGTGGCTTTGCTCCAAACCCTTGTGAGTTGCTCCTGCTAAGGCCACATCCTAACTTGAGATTTGAATTTTCATAATGTCATATTGTCATACTAATATATCGCTCGGGAGACTCAAATCAACAGTTGAACCCAGTAGAGTTTTGCATGTCGCTTAGCTAATGATGCAATACTCTAGTAAGCATAAAAACACACGGCACTAGGGTCATCATATCAGGGGCCTGTTGCATAAACTGTCACTATGTAAAGACTAACTAGTTACAAGAACTACTACTTAAGTGGTAATCAGCCTTTTTGGATTCAAATTAGACAAATATACATTTTTATGTTGCTGATTTTGAAAAGTTATGACTGACTAGTCTTGCAGAAAAATTGAGATGGCTAACATTTAAGACTAGTCTAAGCAGTTTATGCAACTATTCCCAGATGTTCACTACATGATTATTGCGGCCATAAGAATAATGAACCATCAGTCAAATTCATCTTTAGCTATTTTCAACTTTCTCTTTAACTTGTATGGCCTGTGAATCACACTCAAAATCTAAGTGTAGAAAGTAGGAGGAAGAGTAACCGTAATTTTACAAAAGTGGACAAAAATAGCAAACTTTTCTGGGTGTGAGTAGAGAGTCTTGCTTTCACCTGTCATCTACTCCAACATGAGTTTGTGTGGCAGTAGTAGCTACATATTTTTTCTTTTTTTTAATAATTAAAGTTACTATTAAAAGTAATGCATTACAATATTGCACTACTCCCTAAAAAAGTACTAAAAACACATTACTTTTAATGCGTTACGTTATTTGTATATTTTTGGCAACTGTAAAGGCCCTTTGACACAAACAAGGGGACAGGTGTCAGTGAATAAATGTGAAAAAGTAACTCAGATATTTCATTGTCAATTTAAAAGTAATACGAGTTACTTGTAAAAAGTAATCTGATTACGTAACTTGCATTACTTGTAATGCGTTACCCACAAAACTGTTCATTAAATTATAACATTTAACATTGAACATTGAAGCAAACAATGCCTTTTTGCCTAAACTAGGTTTCATATTGTAAGCCAGCTTTTTAGAACAGCTTTCACCTCAGGAGTGTGCTTATGAATGATGCTGCCTACTGAGGCAACTCACAAGGATTTGGAACAGAGCCAATGTCTATGGTTTGTCTTTGTATTGCATAAATTATCATTTTAGTTTAAAGACACAACTGGTCCGATTTTTTAATGTACCTTTTATTTATCGGTGCATGTTAGTCTGATGAGAAAATACACTTATATCTTACAAAAGTTTGGGGTCGGTAAGATTTTTTAAATGTTTTGTAAGGAGTCTCTTATGCTCAACAAGGCTGCATTTATTTGATCAAACACATAAATACTGTGAAATATTATGTTTAAAAATAACTGTTTACTATTGCAAAATATTTTAAAATGTAATTTATTCCTGAATTTTCTGCATCATTACTCCAGTCTTCAGTGTCACATGATCCTTCAGAAATAATAATAATAATAAATTTTATTTATAAAGCACTTTACATTTTAAGGAAAATAATTCTAGTATGCTGATTTGCTGCTCCATAAACATCAATGTTGAAGACATTTATGCTGCTTCATATTTAATGAATACACGATTTAAAAGAGCATCGTTTATTTGAAACATAGTTTTTTTTTGTAACAATACAAAAATCTTAAAAAGTCACTTTGATCAATTGAATGCATCTTTGCTGAATCAAATTAGAAAGAAATGTCCCCTTCACAGTCCTCGTTCAAAATGTATGAACCTCCTCCACTTTTGATCAAACTGAGACTATGTGTGCATAGAAAAAATGATATGAATATCCTAGCCTAACCTTGTCTTACCCGATACAATTGGGATTCACGCGAAAGTAAAGTGCATCACAAACGCTCTTTCACATCTCTAAGCCCTCTGTGTCTCCTCAGATGGTGGGTGGACTCCTGAACTTCTGTTTCTACACCTTTGTGAATAAATCCCTCAGCGTGGAGTTTCCCGAAATGCTGGCGGAGATCATCAGCAACCAGTTACCAAAATTCAAAGCTGGGAGTGTCAAATCGCTGCTGTTTCACCAGAAGTGAAGCTGCTCCCAGCAGCAGGACACGATGCCTTAAACGTCCACCTCGTCCCCTCACTCCCACTCCATCGGGACAGCAGAGGGGGGCGAGGCGTGTGAGAGAGAGAGGACTGTATGCAACCCAGCACACAACTCCATGATTGACTACAGTACAGTCGGAGGAAGAGACGGGTAATTAGAGGTTGTAAAAAGCTAACAAACGGCTGAACTGTTGAAATGACATAACCACGAATCTCATGGATAGATTATCCCATACATGTCGTCTCAGGTGTTTGACTCCCAGCATCAACTATTATTAGTAGAAGAAAGCTAATAGTCCAAGGTCACTTACTACATACAGTATGTAGAGTTGCACACGATGCAGCACTTACGCAGTTCAGTATGCGCAGATTATGCGCTGATTATATAGTCAGTATCATACTTTTTAACTTCAGATGATAACGGTTTGAAATAATAATTTCAATAATATGTACAGAGATAATGGCTTCAGCTTGGTTTGAAATGAAATATACGTTTTGTATGACACCATATATCTTCAGTTTTAAAACGACTCATGTCATTAACAGAGTTACATATATACAGAAAAAAGGAAAATATGTGCCTTTTTTTTTTCTTTTTTTTTTAAAGCTTCTTTCCTTGTTTTGACTCGTCCGCACCAGACATCTGGCACTTCTTCTTCTTCATAGCTGATTGTACTTTTATACCCACTTGCACTTGTAATTTTAAAAACGGCCATTCTTTTTTTTTTTTGGCAGCTCTTTAATCATTAGTGGGAACTTCAAAGAAGTGATCCTTATCGCGGAGATGAGTCTGACGATTATTTTTACGCTGAGAAATGCAAATCAAGCACTTTCACTCCTTGCAAATGCTTTAAAGGGGCTGGTTTAGGTTTGTTCTGCAGCGAAGGTGTATTTGTGTCTAAGAAAGCCATTTATTGTTAATTTTTACCTGTTAATTCATATAGGAATTATGCAATGTGAAACATTAATTTTTGTCAGTTTTGTTTTTATGTGTGTCGTATTTGTTCCTTAGCAATGCCACAGTATACAACCAAAACAATGAATGCAGATTACAGTACCTATACCATTTATACAGACAGATGATTTGAATTGTCAGATACAGTACAATCACACTTAGCTACACCAAACATCAACTCAGGCCCGCAGTACTCTAGATCCTGTATGACAGTGTACATTTCTAATATTTTTTTTTTTTAGGTCCAGACTAATCCATATTAAACTAACCTTGACCTGTCTTGGTTTAATCAGTCAAACTGTGGTGCAAGTGCAGGGTTTGAACTCTCTGGGAATTTCTACTCGCCTGTATTGTTGCAATCTGTTATTTTTGTGCCAAACATATATTGCTTTCAGTTTGTACAATCTAAAACTGTGCTCGTCTTAACAGTTGTCAAAGGTTTATATATATATATACAGTATATATTCAAGAGAGGGAAAAAGAGAGTATCAGAATATTTTACAGTTCTTCTGTGGAAGCTTAATACATCTTGTTTAATACACAAATAAAAAATCTCCAGCTTCAGACTGCTTAGCATTGCATTTGTGTGGTACAGATTTAGCGATATCTGAGCAGCACTTTTCTCTTTGCTCTTCCGTTCCTACAGATATACAGTATCTCACAGAAGTGAGTACACCCCTCACATTTTTGTAAATATTTTTATATCTTTTCATGTGACAACACTGAAGAAATGACACTTTGCTACAATGTAAAGTAGTGAGTGTACAGCTTGTATAACAGTGTAAATTTGCTGTCCCCTCAAAATAACTCAACAAACAGCCATTAATGTCTAAACCGCTGGCCACAAAAGTGAGTACACCCCTAAGTGAAAATGTCCAAATTGGGCCCAAAGTGTCAATATTTTGTGTGGCCACCATTATTTTCCAGCACTGCCTTAACCCTTTTGGGCATGGAGTTCACCAGAGCTTCACAGGTGGCCACTGGAGTCCTCTTCCAGATGTTAGAGACCTTGTGCTCCTCCACCTTCCGTTTGAGGATGCCCCACAGATGCTCAATAGCGTTTAGGTCTGGAGACATGCTTGGCCAATCCATCACCTTTACCCTCAGCTTCTTTAGCAAGGCAGTGGTCATCTTGGAGGTGTGTTTGGGGTCGTTATCATGTTGGAACACTGCCCTGTGGCCCAGTCTCCAAAGGGAGGCGATCATGCTCAGCTTCAGTATGTCACAGTACATATTGGCATTCATGGTTCCCTCAGTGAACTGTAGCTCCCCAGTGCCGGCAGCACTCATGCA